AATAACACCAAATTAATACAAATATATAGAAAAATCAAAGCAAAACAAACCCAATTGAGTCGGGCATGCATTTGTGTGGTCGGCTTTGGTAATTTTAATTTTGAAAAAAAATTATATTTCATTCTAGTTTGATTTTTCTATTCTATGTTTGAATACTTTTCGATTAAATGGACAAGTTCGTTTGCCTTCACGTTTCGGTGCTTTTAATTTATATCGAACAAGCTGTTGCTCACCCTTACCTTTACATTTTTACTCTTTTGAATCTAATAATTAACTTGTTTTCAAATTTCACAAAATGTACGATACGTAATTCTATCTTGTAGCATTTGAAAACTTGATTCATTAATAAGGATGTGGTTAGACATACTTAACTCTTTTGAATCTAATAATTAACTTGTTTTCAATTTTCACAAAATGTACAATACGTATTCTATCTTGTAGCATTCGAAAACTTGATTCATTAATAAGGATGTGGTTAGACATACTTAACGTCCGATAGACATATTTTGTTAGAACAAATGCGTACTTTCAAACTGAACATGTCCTTTTTAAAAACAATATAAAAAAATAAAAATCATGACATTTTATATAATAAATACACATTTTTCATTTATAATATATGACGGGTTGATCCGTTTAACGTTTCATCATCTCAATTTTGTGTTATGAAAAATATGTCCAATTGTTACCTCAAGATTATTATTCCAATTTCCAACATCTTATCATAAGTAGATAAGTTGAATCTTCTTTGGGTTTGTTTAAGTTCCACCAATGAGAAAAGTGAAGACAAAATCAAAGAATCATGCGATTAGTCAATAATTATCATTATATAATGTACTGCTTCTCCTTTAAAGTTGTAATCACTGATCAATATTCCCATAATTATTGCCTACTTACTTCTGGACATTATTAATATTTACAGAAGAGATGTAAAAGAATATATGTGTAATTTATTTAATTTTTGATATTTGCGTTAGAAGAATTTTAACATAACCCGATGACGAAGAATTAATTTAAAATAGAAAAATGATCACCGGAATTTGATTTTGTTCAGACACTGTATTACGGTGCCGTTATTGCTTGAGTGATCACCGGAATTTGAATTTTATTTATAATTTTTTATAAAGCCAAAAAAAGGTCAATGTTTCTGGATTATTAATCAACTCTGGCATGATTGAATGACTATTTATATGGACTAACTTGTAGTTGTGTAGACTGTAGTGGATAAACTCTGGCATGATTGAATGACTATTTATAATGTGGGATCAGTTTTCAGACAGAAGCATGCATAATTTGTTTAAAAAAAGAAAGATATATTATTGTCTAATAAACATGTGTGATGATCATAATATACGTTTTGAAAATGTGTTATTGAATATGAAAGTCAAAGACAAGGCAAAAATCGCTACACATGTTGCTACGACATTCTAACCATTATCGAGCTGGTTTTTTACTCGGGGCAAAGCGAAAACTCCATTAGTTATAATATTTGCAATGGAATAAACAAAAGTAAGTACACAAAGGTAGACACATGCTAGATAAACCAGATTTATTACCTGATCTTGCACCTATAAAGATCCTTGCGAAAAAAACATCAAATGTACTTACGCGCTATATGATTACACTCGTACGATAGTTTACTTGCAGGCAAATGCGTTAACTGTTGACTGTGTTGAGCAACGATCTGAAATGCAATATATTCCCGATTGTTACTTTGAAGATGAAAAACTGAGCACAAACAACAGAAAAATAACCCACAAATAACCCACAGTATAATACAAAATACGCACATAATTGATAAGAAACGGAAAGAAATAGACGAGACGTATATTATGTTTTAATTTATCTCAATTTCCTCGTTGAGCTTGTCTATTTCTCTCTCCCACTTGAATCCAAATATCTGGCGCCCGAATGGAACAATGAGGTTGTAGTGAAGGACCTGCAAAGTATACCAAGAGTCTGAGGAATCAAACAGGCTTTCAAGTATCATATTAATGTTTATAACAACAACAAAGCCTTTTAGTCCCAAACAAGTTGTGGTAGGCTAGAGATGAAACCCAAAAGAAACAGTGGTAAGAAACACAAAAAAAGAGCTCAAAACAAAACAAAACAAAACAAAACAGAACAACACAAAACAAAACAAAACAAAACAGAACTAACAATAATAGTAAACATAAGTGCATGCTTGGATACCAACTTTTTTTTAAAAAAAAAATCCCAATCATTTTAACCAATCACATTTTTTTTAACAGAAATCTAACTCAACTTTAACTCAACCCTATTATCTTTAATATTAATGATATCATTAAATCATATCATTCAATCATTCTTACACATTACATCAACTTTAATTAATTATTCAAACCACTCACATAATTTTAATTAATCATAATTTCATATCATTTCTCTCATACTTTTACATCAAATCAACTTATGAACTCAAAATCCTACTAACAACTCACCATACCACTTTTTTATACAACTTTTCTCTAAATTAACCATACCAAACCAAAAAAAATCCAAACAAAATCAAATCATCTTATATCCAAACATAAGTACGTCATTCAGAGTGTAAGTATGTATTTTTTGTTAAAAATGTATGACAAGTCGACCCGCCTAATGGTTAGTCTGCCTCATACTAGAATTTGTGCAACGGTACAGTTGCCTAATAGTTAGAAATCCTAGCAGCAGCATTTGTGATTTAAAATAGATTGAGAAGAGCTATACCATATTATTTAGATCGCGTAACTGGAGTTTTAACGCCTCTGATGACTCGTGCCACTTGGATTCATCAGGTCCGCCTTTATGTACCCATGCTTTCTTGAGGGATATTCGCCACTCGGAAATTCTATATCGTATCTCCTTGTTGAGTTCGACCCATTCTGGGGCAAACCCATTTTTGTTGAGAATCCTATAGAGTGTATCGTCTGCAGGGTCCACATGGGGGTTGATGTTCAGGTTCAAGGGCTTTCCTTTTCCGGGCAAGTTTTCAAATTGGCCTTCTTCCATTGCACGCCATACTCGTTGCTCGACAACGTTGATGATGTCAGTTTCTGATCTAAAAATGTACAAAAAAGGGTCATAATCTGGGTGATCTTGTTGCTTTGCAATCTGACCATTCATTTT